CCACCAGCCTTCTGGTTAGCAGTCAAGTGCTTTAGCCACTATGCTACCAGAGCTCCCCCCCCAAAAAAAAAAAAAATTAATAAAATAATAATTATAGCTATGATTATTCTTATTTTATTCCTTCATAGAAACTGTCATCTCTTTAGGGTCATTTATTGTGAATAAATTAAAATTTTGGAAGATTATTAGTTTTATTTACACAGATGAGCAATCAAGAAGAAAATATTAAACTCAGAGATGTTTTTAAAACTAGGAAACGGAAAACAACTTCTGATTATAATTACCATCAAGTGAATTTTACCAATTTCTGTAATATTTTATCCTTAAATAGGCCAGATGCTCTTTTAGGCTGATTTTTTTTTTTTTTTTTTTAACATATTCTGATACTTAATTTTGTCTCATTCTCTTATTTACAGAGGTTAGAAGAAGGACACAGCTCAGCAGTAGCTGCCCACTACAATGAACTTCAGGAAGTTGGTTTGGAGAAGCGTAGCCAAAGCCGTATTTTTTACCTAAGAAACTTTAATAATTGGATGAAAAGTGTTCTCATTGGTATGATTATTTTTTGGTTTAGAATTAGAATTCTTTACTTTGCCCTATAGGGTCAGAATCTACTAGATGGCAGCGTACTTTTAATATCTCATTTTTTCTCCGAAAATGGTTAATTATATGCCAAGCTCCTTAGTCTTTAATCTCTGTGCATTTAATTATCAGACTTTGATTTAATAAAGTTGAAGCCAGAACTAAGCCTTGTTGTTGTTGTTGTTGTTAAGTGCCATTGAGTCATTTCCGACTCATAGCGACCCCATGCACAGCAGGACGAAACACTGCCCGATCCCGCGCCAGCCCCACAATCCCTGCTATACTTGAGCCCATCATTTGGTTATTCCATGTCAATCCATCTCGTTGAAGGCCTCCCCCTCTTTCGTTGACCCTCCACCCTACCAAGCATGACATCCTTCTCCAGGGAATGGTCCCTTCTTACAACATGACCAAAATAGGTGAGACGAAGTCTGGTCATTCTTGCTTCTAAGGAGCATTCTGACTGCACTTCCTCCAGGACAGATCTGTTAGTTCTTTTAGCAGTCCATGGTACTTTCAGCATTCTTCGCCAGCACCACAACTCAAAAGCATCAACTAAAACTAAGCCTTAGAGATAAATTTTTTTAATGTTTACTTTTGATTGACTTTGTAGGATATTATCAAGTATTTAATTGATAAAATATTTAAAATAACTATTTAATGGTATTCCAAAAAAACCAAACTAAACTCAATGCTATTGAGTCAATTCCAACTCATGGTGACCCTATAAGACAGAGTAGAACTGCCCCATAAGGTATCCAAGACTATAAATCTTTACAGGAGCAAACTGCTACATTTTTTTTCTGTAGAGTGGCTGATGGATTCAGACCACCAACCTTTCAGTTAGCAGCCAAGCGCTTTACCCACTGTGCCACCTTAATTCCATTTCACTCTAATAGTTCTGGAGCAATGTCACAGTCAGTTGGATTAAATATTCAGGTTATATTAAGTCAGTAAAATTCCAGACAAAGGTGCAATGGGCTATATCATGCCTTTTTTACTTTTAAGACTTTAAAGAAGTTTCTGGGTAGTGCAAAGGGTTAATGTGCTCAGCTGTTAACTAAAAAATTGGGGGTTCAATTTCATCCAGAGGTCCTCCGAAGGAAGGATTGGTAATCTACTTCAGAAAAATCAACCATAGGAAACCTGATGGAGCACAGTTGTACTATGAAACACAAGGGGTTGTCATGAGTTGGAATTGACTCGAGCAACTTTTTACTGGCTCTGCTAGTTTTGAGAATGATTTACTAATTTTTAAGGATAAATAACTCATTCTGAAAAGTGTTTTAAAAAGACTCTCTATTTTGAATACATTTTAATATCTTCTGTCCCAGTTTGTTTTCTATTTGCATGTTTTATTAGAAAAATATTTATTTGACTCTGCTAGGTGTCAACCATTATAGTTTTTTTTTTAAGGCATTTTCTGCCTCAACTGTTGAAGGTTCTCCCCCAGTCTTAATTTCTTTTCAACTTTTCTCCTCTTTCCTCCTATCCCCAATGACACAGATAAATTATTGGGAATTTTTATGATGTATTATTTATTCATGATTTATTAATTGAATATATACTTTTTAGTCTAATTTTTCACGTTTTATATTTATTATAGTTTATAATCAGGAAAACAGGTAGTTTTTTGAAGACTTTTAAGTCAAATTTGCTAAAAAGTTATCTCAGCATATTAATGATATTATTTTCTAATTAACCATTCTAGCAGCTCTATGACTGCTTTGCTCTCTACACCTATCTTTCTGGTCTACTGCAGTCAGTGTTGTGGTCTATGCCACGGTCCCTCTGTGGCTTCTCAATACTCACACTCTGTCTTCATTTTCTCATTATCTGTGGTGTTTATAGCTTAGTAAATAATTCCTTACTATCCTTGAATATCATAAAGCTTTTTGAAAATAATATTTAATGAGTCTTCTCATTAGTCTTAATATACAGAAATAAAGGGAGTTTGTAATTACTGTTATTTTTTCATTGCTTCAGTATTAGTGTTTGTGCTATTAATATTTATGGCAGAAAGGCAAATAAGAAACAAATGTGCTTGTTTGCACTTAAGGTCCTACAGACAGTGAAAAGCAGAAGTATTTGTATAGAATATTCTAGTCATTGAAATAGTATACATGTGAAGTAGAAAGTGTTGTACTCAGAGTGATAAAGCCAGGAATAGCTAATCTAGGATTTAGTATTACGTCAAAATTTATAATTACTGATAGCTTCAGTTGTCTAAGAATGCTAATATGCCTTTAACTGATATTTGAACCATTTGGCTATTGATCTGTGAGAGCATTAATTTTATTTGTTGACTGTTCATGTGATTTGGTAGATTGAGATGAGAAGGTTCCAATTTTTACTTTAGGGTGTTTAATAATTCTGGTGATGGTGAAACTAAGAAGTATAATTTTATGATGAGTTCTTCTATCTCTTTTGATAATGAACCTGATATCTTTTATGAAAATCAAACACTCTGGTCCTATAATTACTTTGATTTACCTACAGGTATAATAAGTTAAGTGCTTATCTTTAGAAATGAAAGGCTAAAAAAAAATAGTGAATAACTAGTATTTCTCTTATGAACATCTGTTGAGTTTTTTGTTAATTAGAATTCTAAAATGTGTGGTATTTAATATTGAATTGAATTCTGAAAGTAACCTTCAAAAAGCTGTCTTAACTTTCTAAAATGCTGAACAGTCTAATCTCTAATAGTAGAATATGAAGTTAATTAACTTGTAGTTGCATTTTGAAATTTTTACTAGAACACGCAGGGTTAGTAGGTTTTTAGAGGTAAGTTTATGCTTTGGTAAAAAATGAAGAAGAGATAACTTATTATGATTAATTCCTCTGTTTTAGGGGAATTTTTAGAAAAAGTACGACAGAAAAAAAAACATGGTATCACTGTTTTGGACCTGGGATGTGGTAAAGGTGGAGATTTGCTCAAGTGGAAAAAGGGAAGAATTAACAAGCTAGTTTGTACTGGTAAGATAAATAAGTGCGTGGGAATGAATGATTTTTGGTCAGCCAGGTGAAGAATCTCATTATCCATAATGACACTTTTGGCGAGATATGTGGGGAACTGTGCATAAGATAAGCATTTTTTAAAATGAGTTCTCAAGACATTCCTGAGATTTATGGTCATCTGAATATTAGGTGAAGTTTTGTTGGGAGTGATAATTATATTGTACTTCTGTTTAAAATAATAGTTTTAATCTGTTAAATACACATACTGAAGAACAACTGGGGGATATCTGGGATTTGCTGAATTGAAGCAAAAGGAAAACGTAGCAAAAAGATGGTTATTGAAGCTAGATAATGGATGGTGGGTACATGGCAGTTCATTATACTTCTCTTTTTATTTTTAAATGTATTTGAATGTACCTATTTAAAAAAAAGTTAAACATAACATACAGAGTTGAGGAAATACATGAATTAAGGCAGCTCTATTAGTATTATTTTAAAAACAGTTAAAAGTTTACTGATCCCTGGGTAGTATGAACAGTTTTCAGTCAACTGCTAACCAAAAAGTTGACAGTTTGAATCTACCTGGTGGTACTGCTTGAAAGATATCTGGTTATCTGCTTTTGTAAAGATTATGGGCAGGTAAATCCTATGGAGCAGTTCTATTCTGTCATACATGGGGTTGCTATGAGTTGGAATTGACTCAGTGGCAATGGGTTTGTTTTTTTTAAAAAGTTTACATTCCATAACAGTAGTTCATTTAAACAGCTAACAAATGTACAGTAAGTAGAAATTATGTACATAATGGTTTTAGCAGTAGGGAAAGTGATAAAATGTATTGGTTGAAGATACAGGATCATTAAGTATATTTTAATTAATAGGTACAGTATCACCTTGAGATCCTTATATTTTATGAAGTTATTTGGTTGCTGTATCTGAGGTTAAATGTGAGTTTTCTTTTACTAGATTGCATCTTATTTCAGTTTAACAAGAATTTGAGGTGGCATTTTCATATTCTTACCTGTTCTGCTTAATAGAGACTCTTATTCCATGTGTTGGTAAATTTTGTATCTTTTTAAAATATGCAAACTACAATTTATAATTTGATGAAGTGCGATATTATTCTCAATGAATTTGCTTTTTTAAATTTTTTTTTAGTCTTCTGTGCTTATATTTTAATTAATTAAAGTATGTATTACATCCACCACTTCTCTGTGAGTTCATTGTACTGTGGTGACGTGCATGTTGCTCTGAAACTGGAAGCTGTGCTGCCAGTATATCAAGTACTAGTAGAGTCACCCATGGTGAGCAAGTTTCATTGGAGGATCCAGACAGGTTAGGACAAAAAGCCTGACTACCTACTTCCCAAAATTAGCCAATGAAAATCCTATGGATCACAAATATTACTCAACTTCAACTTGTTTACTCTGGGCTTATCATCAGGAGGGACAGATCTCTGCAGAAGGACATCGTGTTTAGGAAAAAGGAGAGCTGCAAAGGCAAGACAAATCCTTAATTAGATAGATTGGCACAGTGGCTGCAGCAAAGGACTCAAACATACGAATGATCATGAAAATGGTGCACGACCAGGCAGTGTTTCATTCTTTTATTCATGAGATCACTGTGAGTCAGAGCTGACTTGATGGCGACTAACAACAACCACAAGTATTACATGAATTATGAATATATACAGTAGATAACTGTTATTTCCAAAAGTGGATTTATAGTGTAGGGTTTTATAATTCACATTTGAATCTAAACTTTGTACTTTTGACTTTGAGTAAGCGTTTAAAAATCATAGTAGTGCATGAAACAAAATGTGTATGACATGTTGAATGGAAGAGTGATTTGCTCTGTAAGTCTTCACCCAAATCACAATAAAAAATTGAAAAAATAAAATAAAAGTCATGGTAGAACTTTTCTGTTACCACTAATGAAAAAGGATTTCGTCTTTTCTAAAAATTGATAGGACATTTCCATTGGAAATAATTTTTTTTCTTTTTTCTTTTGAAGGAAATAGAACTTTTCGCTTGTGCTAAGGTTAGATTTCATGCCAAAGTTTAATTTCTAGATTTTTGCCATTCTTATGTTTACATTTTGTCATTTCTCTGTCTGTGGGTCTCTGTTAATAGTTACTGTCTTTCCCCTCCAGATATTGCTGATATTTCTGTCAAACAGTGCCAGCAACGGTATGAGGACATGAAACATCGCTGTCGTGATAATGAATGTATTTTCAATGCAGAATTTATAACTGCTGATTGTTCAAAGGTAGAGTTTTATTTTGTTTTTTGTCTCTTTTTTTACATTTCATTTTAGATAAATGACTTATTTTAAAACTTAGCTCATTTTTTTCATGCCCTTTGAGATATAAATCTTAGGACATGCATTTTCAGTTTCAACAAGAAATTCTGTTACGTTGAATTTCCCCAAAAGGCAGACTGGCACTACAGCAAATTTTTGCTTTTAACAATGTGAATTTCTGAAATCATTTTCTGTTTGGGTGTATTTTTTAGTATTTTGAAATATAACTGAACTTATAGTATGTTTTGTTCTTCTTAAAATTTATTAGAGAAATTTGCCAACATATCAGAATCTGCTTTTTCGCACCTTCCAGATGTTTCTGAATCTTTTAACAACTATGAAGTTTAAGAACTGTAGAGGCACTTGAGTCGTGAAAGTCTCACCCTGAACTTTATGTTCTTTGTCTAACTCATCAGCTCACTAAAATATTTTAGGTACTCAATTGCACACGTTTTGTTTGTGATTTTGAAAGTAAGAAGGAAAGGTGGTAGTATGCTGCTAGAAAGTTGGAAACATTTAAACACTTTTGGTTTTTTCTTTTAAATACCAGAGGCTAGTTGGTTTTGTTTTCCCCAAGTTATTTGTAAAAGTATTTTACCTTAGCTTTCAAACTGAGAAGATCAGCTCCTTTAAATGTTATATTTGATTGATATTTCACATGAGTTCAGAATCCCTAATTTTTTTAAGTTACTGTAAATTGGCAAGCAAATTACTCGTTTGAACCAGGTGTAAGAGAATGATTTCATTATGGCCCTTATTAAATAAAATTAATGAGAGGGAAAGGATAGATAGTTTGCCAAGAGGGTGTGTCATTGTTTTCATTGTTATTAGGGTCTATCAAGTAGGCAACCCAGTGTGACAGAGTATCTCTGCTCCATAGTATTTTCTAGGCTGTAATCTTTATAGGAGCAGATAGCCAGGCAGATTGCAGATCTTTTCTCCCATGGACCTGCTGAGTTGGGTTCGAACTGCCTACCTTTCAGTTAGCTCGCATGTCTACTTTTTTCATAAGATTCCTAAATACTAGAAATTAATTTTCTATAAAGTTTTTATCCATATTATAGTTACTTTAAAATCTTAACCCATTTTAATTGGTTTCAGGAACTTTTGGTTGACAAAGTCCATGATCCAGAAATGTGCTTTGACATCTGCAGTTGTCAATTTGTCTGTCATTACTCATTTGAGTCCTATGAGCAGGCTGACTTAATGCTTAGAAATGCTTGTGAGAGACTTAGCCCTGGAGGCTATTTTATTGGTACCACTCCCAATAGCTTTGAGTTGATGTAAGTATTTTTAAGTATATTATGATTTACAAAATATTTAGTATTAAGCTTACTTAATAGTAGCAAAACGTTTATCAGAATTAGGGTTCATAAAACATATGATGTTACCTTACTTTAAAGTAGTAAATTTTCATCAGAAAATAGTCATTTCTCTTCAGAAGTTTTTAAATGTACCATTTGTTTCTCTCAATTAGACCAGTTGTTATTTTAGTGTGCCAGTGAGTTGATCCCAACTCTCATAGCAACCCAATAGGAGAGAGTAGAACTGCCCTATAGAGTTCTTCTTATAGTGTTTCTTAGGCTATAATATTTAAGCTAGCAGATTGTCAGGTCTTTTCTTTCACAGCGTCGCTGGGTGGATTCAAACCATCAACTTTCCTGTCAGTGGCCCAGTGATTAACCATCGCTCTACCAATATTCCTTCCCAGTTAGATCAGTTAGGACCAATTAAATTTACATGATTGAATTACTGCACAGCTATTTGAAAGACTTACATGTTTAGAGTTGAAAGTGCTACTAATGTATTTTAGTAAATATTCAAAATCTAAGTTCAAAAGATAAACTTATGGATAAACTTTTAAAACTTTTGTTTGATGTTACATCAGGGTAGAGGTTATAGACGTAAACAAAATGCAGATCAGATACTGAGGCACAGAGATTGAACCATTTATCAGGTTACTGAGATTACTTCCCACCTAATTTTATTGGTGAGACTATTAATGTTCTTTAATTAGATTGCCTGTCAAAAGTAGCTCAAATTCAGTTGAAGAAGCTAATCAAATGTGTTTGATGATGTAGTTTTTCACATGTATAATCTGATCAAAATAAGTTTATATAGCAGTCTGAGCTAGTAACTTTTAATCTTATATTTTGGGGAATGGGTTGTATTTAATCTTTACAGAAAACGTCTTGAAGCTTCAGAAACTGAATCGTTTGGAAATGAAATATATAGTGTGAAATTTCAGAAGAAAGGAGATTATCCTTTATTTGGCTGCAAATATGATTTCAACTTAGAAGGTGTTGTGGATGTCCCTGAATTCTTGGTCTATTTTCCACTGCTAAATGAGTAAGAATGTCTTACTATCTGTTCCTATTCCCTTTTGGCCTTAGGGAAAGTAAGGGTGGGGGAGCCAACATGTTCATTCCTTGCTTTGAATGAGACCCAATGAAAAAATATAGCCTTATAAAAGGATTGTAACCTCAGACCCAGGATTGGTGCCATTCACATCTTACAGCCTTACTTAAGTTTTTTTTGTTTTGTTTTGTTTTCATTTCATGGAATTATTGTATCCTATGGGTAAGAAAGGGAGCCTTTTGCCTTCAGCTTATGGCAGAAAATACCTGACATTGCAAGCAGCAAAAGATTTTTGTTAGTAACAGCTGGTAACTCAGATAATACAAAATTAATCAAAGATCCTCCTTTTGATCTGGGTTTTAAAAGTTGTTTTGCAATTCACTAGAGCTTTGAAATTGCCTGTCTCACAGGCACTGTTGATAATAAAATCCCGATTCAGGAATGTGTTCACCCATGCAACTCAATCCCTAAGAGTCTCGACAAACCATAGAAAAAGTTGTGGCTACCAGGCTTTATCAGGTAAGGCTTATGATGCACCTGGGTCTTGGGGTTTCCCTAGTAGGAAGAGTATGGCAATAAACTTAAAAGTAGACCATGTTACAGTTAATGATCATGATTTACTACTTTTTAAAAAAAATCTTTTAATATTAAATAAGAAAAAAAAATAGCTTTTTTGTCTGCTTATTTTTGCTTGAAATTATTTGATTTGTGACTAAATCAGCTTGTACAGTTATGGGTACAGGATTTTCAGGAGTTTTACAATATAAACATACAGTAACATAAATTAAGTAGGACTGGTTTGGCATGAGGAAAGTACATGCACAATTTATAAGCAGAAACTATAAAATTTAAAAAATTAAATCACATTTTATTTTTGTATTCTTAAAGTTAGTAAACTTTTGGGAACTATTACAACTCTTCAACTGTATAAAAGAAATTAGACAAATGTATTCAGTGCATGCCTGGTGTTTTCTGACTTTTGGTTAAGGAAGCTGGTGATTTTAGTGTACCCAAAAAGATAAAGAATATATTTGTTGTTGTTATGTGCCATCGAGTTGGACCCAACTCATAGTGAACCCTCCTTGGGTTTCTGAGGCAGTATCACTACAGAAGTAGATTGCCCCATCTTCCTTCTGAGGAGTGGCTGGTGGGTTTGAACCGCCAGCCTTCTGGTTAGCAGTCAAGTGCCTTAGGTACTATGCTACCAGAGCTCCTAAAGAATGTGTATACACACACACACACACACACATAAATATATATATATATATATATATATATATATATATATATATTTTTTTTTTAATGAAAAGCAAGGACTACTAGTCTTTTCTACTGAAATTGCCTATGATGATAAGTTTATAAATTCACATTTGATCACTTTTAATTGAGTACAATTTACCACAGTGCAACAGCTCCCCTCTCACTTCCTCCCCATGATTACCTCTTCCCTGTGTCCTTCCCTCCATGCACTCCTGCCCCCTGAGCTGTCTCCCTATGCGTACACACCCTTCTATTCTCCCATGATTGTTCTCTCCAAGGAGTGAATCTACCTAATGTAAATGTTCAGCTCATATGCTTGTCTTTTGTTTGGCTGGAAGCCATAGGAGTGGGTTCAATTTCAGACCCAGAGGGCAGCTAGGGGCCAAGTCTCAGTAGTTCCATCAGGCTCTATCAGACCAGCAAATCTGGTCCCTTTTTTTTTTTTTTAATGATTTTGAGTTTTGTTTCATATCGTTCTCCCACTCTATCCAGGATCTCCTACATAAAGCCCCCTCCTAGTGGTTGACAGTGGTAGCTGGGCACCTTTGGTTATTCTGGTCTCATAGTCATATAGGCTGAGGATCGCATGGTGTACCGGTCCCTTGGACTAATTATTTCCATGAATTTTTAGTTTTCTTCATTCTTCTTTGCTATGGATGAGGAGAGACCCATTATTGCATTTAGATGGCTACATGCAAGCTTTTAAGATCGTAGTTGCTATTCGTCAAAGTAGGAGGTTGAACAATGTTTTGTGTAGTATGTTATGCCAATTGAGCTTGATGTCCACTGCGACTATGGTCCCAAGCCCAAAGGTCCAACTACTTGCTCCCTCTGGATAGCTGGCTGTGGCTAAGGAGTTACTACAACCTTATCCCTTGTTAGCTCTGCTATATACCTGGGAATGCTTACAGAATATACAAATACACTTGTAGAAATATTGCCAGATATGTATTTTTTAAAGCTTAATCTTGATGCAGTTCAAAATGGAAACAGGGAAACAAGCTACTTCGTTACTGGATTGATACAACTGAGTAGAAGTGGTGATTGAAGCAAGATGAGACAAATGAAGTTTGTAAGAAGTGGCCCTATTTGAAGTACTTTATGGGTAAAACCGGAGCTCTGGTGGCATACTGCCTAAGGCACTTGACTGCTAACCAGAAACCTGGCAGCTCAAACCCACCAGCCACTCCTCGGAAGAAAGGTTGGGTAATCTTCCGTAGAGATACTGCCTAGGAAACCCAGGGAGGGGTCCTGTGAGTCGGAGACGACTCGACAACACATAGCAGCAGCAACAACAACAATGTGTAAAACAGATAACTTAGTGATATATTGAACATAATGGGTATAGGAGAGAAGGAGATTATTCCAATAACCCCCAGATTCTGGTGTGAATCATTAGATGGATGTGCTCAAATAGCAAAGATTGGCAGAACAATCTGATGGGGTTCAGCCTTGAATATGGGGAGTTAGAAAAAGCCTATGACACATTCAGGTGGAATTTTTTTTTTTTTTTTTAATTGTGATTTGGGTGAAATTCACTTTCCATATAGCAGTTCACATATATTTTGTCTCATTACATTGACCACAATCTACCACAATGCAACAGCTCCACTCCCACCTCCTCCCAACAGTTACTTCCTCCCTGTGTCCATCCCTCCATGCATTCCTGCCCCTCGAGCTGTCTCCCTGTGCACAAGGAGCCCTTCTTTCTCCTATGATTATTCTCTCCAAGGAGTGTATCTACCTCAGGTAAATGTTCAACTCGTATGCCTGTCTTTTGTTTGATTGGAAGCCACAGGTGTGTGTTCAATTCCAGACCTGAAGGGCAGCTAGGGTCTCAGTGGTTCCACCAAGCTCTATCGGACCAGCAAACCTGATCCACCCCCTTTTTTTTTCTCCAAATGATTTTGAGTTTTGTTCCAATTGTTCTCCCTCTCTATCAGGATCTACTACATAGATCCCCTTCCAAGTGGCTGACATTGGTAGCCAGGCACCATTTTGTTCTTCTGGTCTCATAGTTGTATAGGCTGCAGATCAGATGGTGTACCAGTCACTAGGACTAACTGTTTCCATGAATTTTTGGTTTTCTTCATTCTTCTTTGCTCTGGACAAGGAGAGACCCATCGTTCCATCTAGATGGCAGCTTGCAAGCTTTTAAGATCCCAGTCACTACTCGCCAAAGTAGGAGGTGGAACAATGTTTTGTGTAGTATGTTATGCTTGTGTAATATGTACTATGTTGAGCTTGATGTCCCCTGTGACTCTGGTCCCTAGCTCACAGGTTCAACTACTCAATCCCTCTGGGTAGCTGGCTGTGACCAAGAAGTGACTACAACCTTGCCCCTTGTCAGCTCTACTATACACCTGGGAATTCAGATAATACAAGTAAACTTATAGGACCATTGTCTGCCAACCCTATAAATGGTCTTGGGTACACTCCCTGCTTCATAGACATATCTACTAGTCTGTCCACCCATCTACCAGGAAATTTCTAATCAATGATGGGATAAATAAGTATGACAGAGAACTGGGCTGCATATAACCACTGGCAAGATGTGTAAAGATTGTAGTAAGAGAGAGAGGGCTCAGGATCATGCTTTTAAACCAAACCAAATGTTTTAAGAACCTTAAAATTTCAAAGCTGAGTTAAAGAGGATTCTAAGGTACACTGAAAAGCAGCCCAAGATTAAGAATATCTTTCCAGAGAATCCAGGAATGAAAGAATATTTTAAGCTGTTTTCAGCACTGCTATGGAATATCAAGTAAGATAAAAATGTAATCAGTAGAAAAGTTATTCCCTAGAGCACTACCTCCCCATTTCTTTTTTATTCCTGGCCTATTTTGTTACATTAATAGAACTTTCTGGCAACCCACTGAAATTTAGAAAGCATATTGCCTTATAGCTATGGTTATTGATATGTTACCATTAATCATTTTTCATCACCCTATCATGAATTTATAAAGGAGATTATTTACAAACTTTTGAGCAGTATTTTCATTAAATAATCTTTTTTGACAGAATGGCAAAGAAGTACAATATGAAACTGATTTATAAAAAGACATTTCCGGAGTTTTATGAAGAAAAGATTAAGAGCAATGAAAATAAAATGCTGTTAAAACGAATGCAGGCACTAGAGGTAAGTATTTTAAAAAGATATAAAATTTTCAGCTCATTGAACTTGTTTAGCAGTTTTTGAGATCTTTTCAAGGCCATGTAGATGCTAAATATTTATTTAAATTACCTAATGTGAAGTTATATTTGTCAGGACCTGGGACAGAGCTTGATACAGAAACTTTCCAGGGTAGCTATTCAGTAAATATTTGGTGAATGAATAATGCCATCTTCAAATGCTCCTTTCTAGATTTCTTTTTTTTTAAAAAAAGGACCAGTTGCTGTTGTGTTGACTGACTCACGGTGGCCCCGTGTGTCAGAGTAAAACTGTGCCACATAGCGTTTTCTTTATTTTAAAAATTATATTTTATTGTGTTTTTTGTGAAGGTTTACACATAGTTGAGGTTCCCATTCAACAGTTGCTACACAAATTGTTCAGTGACATACATGGTTACATTCTTAACAATGCATGAACATTGTCATTTCCATTCTGGTTATTCCATTTCCGTGAATCTAGTTTCCCTTTCCTCTTACATTATCATCTTTGGTTTTGAGTAATTGTTGACCACTTGGTGTCATGTTGTTGTTTTTAAGTGCCCTCAAGTCGGACCCGACTCATAGCGACCCCTCCTTGGGTTTCTGAAACGGTATCACTACAGAAGTAGATTGCCCAGCCTTCCTTCCAAGGAGTGGCTGATGGGTTTGAACCACTAGCCTTCTGGTTAGCAGTCAAGTGCCTTAGGCACTATGCTACCAGAGCTCCTACTTGGTCTCATACTGGTGATTTTTTTTAAAAGGAACACAGTCATTATAGGTGATATTCCTTCTTTTGTAAGCCAGTTTGTCGTTTAGCTACAAAGTGACTTCGGGGTATTAATGTCAGTTCAAGGTTTAAAGAGTATCTCAGTAGTCTAGGTGAGTCCTCTAGTATCAGTTTATCTAGTGAATCTACTTTTATTTTTTGAAGGAATTTGAGATTCTGTTTCACATTTATGTAGGTCTCTCTTGGTTTCTTGTAGTAGTAGTTTGTAGTTTTCCTTGTATAGGTTTCTTGTATCTCATGTTAGATTTATTCTTAAGTATTTCATCTTTTGGGTATCTATTGTAAATTATATTATTTTCCTGATTTCCTTTTCAGAGATCTCTTTCATAATGTAAAGGAATCCAACTGATTTTTGTATGTTAATCCTGTATCCTGCCATTTTGCTGAATCCTTCTATTCTAGTAATTTTCTTCCTGAGTCTCTGGACCTACAAATAGAGATAGTTTTACTTGTTCATTACCTATTTGGATGCCTTTTATTTCCCTTTCTTTCTATATTGCTTGGTCTCGACTTGCTATTCAATTTTGAATAGGACTGGAGATAAAGGACATACTTATCTGGGTCCTGTTTGCAAGGGGAATGTTTTCAGTCTTGCCAGTGAGAATAATGTTGCCCACTGGTTTTGTGTGTATACCCCTGCAAAAAGGGTGTGGAGGCAGCATTGTCTGACCCTCCTTTAACTTTATAAGGGGGAAGAAATATCACAGTCAACAACCTATGGCTGATTCTTATGAAGTGTAATTCAGACATGCTGCCACCCTTCAGCTCTTTTACCAATTCTGATACCAACTGTCCTTCCCACAGCACTCTACTTCTCTGCTGGGTCAGATAATCCATTGAAATGGCCACAAAGAACTCAGATAGCAGTCATAATTATGGAGTTTATTAGAGAAGTAACAGATTGTAGCTCAGGATCAGAAACAGCTCAAGACATAGTTCTTCCATCAGGATGGTCTCTTGTCAGCTGTGCCGTAGGCATGCTTTCCACTGAGGGCCCTTTGGCCTTTGGCCCTGTGGCTTCTTGGCCTCTGTCCTACTTGGGCAAGTGTTTTAGCTCTGCCAATAAATGCCTTGGGGTATCCTAGCTTTCCTGCTCTTTGGGCTAGGAAACCCATCACTCTGTCTCGTGCTTGTCTGTTTCTCTGTCACTGCTTCTCGCTGTCTCAGCACAGTTACAGCTTTCTCTGTTTCCTGGATCAAGGAGGTCAAGCTCAGGGATCTCAGGTCCAAAAGACAAGCTCCAAGCCTGCCTTTTCATTCTTGATAGTAGTTTGATCCTCCTTTCTGCCCTTGGGATGGCTCATTTTAAGCCTAGTGGATGTAGTATTCCAGACACTTTATTTCCATGGTCCTACCCCCACGAGTGTGTGCCATGTACCCTGTTTACATTATATACAAGCTTTTCCAATCCCTTTGGTGGGCCACAGGCACCTTGTATTTACAGTTATCTGAGCCATATTGAGTAGTTCAGTGCACTACAACCTTTTATTATATTGAGACATTTCCCTTCTTTTCCTATTTTTCTTGAGCATGTTTATCAAGAATGGGTGTTGGATTTTATTAAATACTGCTTCTGCATCAAATAATATACTTCTTTTGTGTTTATTTATGTGGTGGATTATGTTGATTGTTTTTCTAATGTTGAAACTTTCTTGCATACCTCGTGTGAATCTTGCTTGCTCGTGTGTTATTTTACTGATAGGTTGTTGGATTCTGTTGGCTAGAATTTTGTAGAGAATTTTTGCATCTGTGTTCATGAGGGACATTAGTCTATAGTTTCCTTTTTGTGATGTCTTTCTATGCTTTTGGTATCAGAGTTTTTCTTGCTTTATAGAACAAGGTTGAGAGTATTCTATCCTTTTCTGTGTTCTGAAATAGTTTGAGTACAATTGGTGTCAGCTCTTCTCTGAATGATAGAATTCACCAGTGAAGCCATCTTGGCCAGTATTTTTTTGTTGTTGGTAATTTTTTTATGATCTATTCATTTTCTTCTTTTGTGATAGTTCTGTTCAGATATACTACCTCAGATTGTGTTAGTTTGTATGGGTTGATTTAGTGTTTACCAAGTAAGATTTTCTTTTTCATTTTTGTGAGAAGGTTTACTAACTTTCTTTTAGGTTACCTTGTAACTAATTATTATTTTATCAAGTTTACAATACTCTGTTCTATCATGTTATCATCTTGCCTTCCTCTCTCCATTTGGAAGTCCTTTAATGGCACCATTTATTCCTTCTTTTTGCTTTCTAGTGGACGTCAGTTAACAAATTAACATCTCTTGTTCTGTATTTTCAGTCTTGTAGGTTTATTTTATTTTTTATATTTCTATCTCTGGACTGATTTCCAGAAGATAATATGTGTCTCCATCTCAAGTTTTTGTCTCCCATTGTTGATTCCCTGTCCAAATTATTTCTTATAAGATTGGTCTACTTTAAAAAATTTCCTTAATTTCTGTTTATCTGGAATATGTCCTAATTTTGCCATTGGATTTGCATGACAATTTTGCTGGTTATGTGATTCTTGGTTGGCAATTTTCTTACTTTCAGTGTTTTATATATATATGTGTTATCCCATTACCTTCTTGCCTGCATTGTTTATTCTGAGAAATAAGAGCTTAGTCTTTTGGTTCTCCTTTGTAGATAACTTTTTGTTTTTCCCAAACTGCTTTCAGGATTCTTTTATTGTCCTTGGTTTTGAAACATTTCATTATGATATGTTTTGGTGATTTTCTCCTAGGGTCTTTCCTATTTGGGATTTGTTGAACTTCTTGAATGCATATCTTCTCATCTTCCTTGGTATTAGAAGAAGTTTTATTTGAACAAATCTTCAACAATTTTCTCCATGCTTTTTTTTTTCCTTTGTATTCTGGTATTCCAATCACATATAAGTTATTCCTCTTGGTAGTATCTCATATAATTCGTAGGCTTTTTTCTTTTTTTTGCATTGTTTTTTCTGATTGTTTCTCTATGGATTTATATTGAGATTTCTTCTCAAATCCGCTAATTCTTTCTTTCATTGATACACTGCTACTCCTTTGTTCTCCCAATGTATTATCTATTTCTGAAATTTTAGTATTAATCTTTTGGACTTTGAATTTGCTGTTTTCATATTTTCTATTTATTCTGTCAATTTCTTGTTTTATTTTTCTGAATTTTTCTAAAGTTTTACCTATTTTTTTCGTTATTTTTGTCTGTGGTTTCCTTGATCTCCTTCTTAATCTCTTATAGGGATCTAAGTATAATTCTTTAAATTTTTTTGTCAGGTAGTTCCAATAGCATTTCTTCCTCTGGAATAGTTTTTGTTCCTTTACTTTAGTCACTTGCTTGAGCCATCTTGTCCTATTTTTTTCCTGTGATTGGTAATTGTCTATAGTTTCTGAGACATTGTATAATTGTATTTGCTGATTATATGTTGCTTTTGCTTCATCTTGCTTTTTTGTTTTATTTTACTGTATCTAGGCACTGGGATGGACATGCTGCTCTGGTCTCTAGTTTGGCAGCACTGGAACACTCACTTCTGTCTTTGGTGGGTTTGTTAATGGATGGGTGTGTGGGCATGAATTTGATCACTGGTCATGTAGAGCAGCTGAGGAAATGCTGGGTGGACGTTGGACATTGTTGTTGGTCCATTGGTGCTGGAGCAGATAGTGGACTTGCCCAGTGGATGAGGCTGCAGGTGTGACAGGTATTGCTGGGTAGGGTTGCTGGCTACCAGCTGTTGGAAAGTTAAAAAAAAAAAAAAAAAGTTGTCAGGAGGGTGTAAGGAGAGGAAGAAAAAAATGGGAAGGTGAAGACTAGTATCATAGTAGTGGCACAAGTGATGGTTGCCAAACACAGCTCCAGTGGGACTCTTCCACTTGCTCTGTAGGAGTGCACTTACTCAAATACAGAGGGATATGGGGGGAGCTACTGAATGTGAAGGTAGTAGAGGGACTGGGATATTGGGTCTGCAGCATCAAGAAAAGAGGAAAAATGAGGAAAGGGAAGAACTAAGAAGAAAGAAAACAAGAAAAAAAAATGTGGCACAGTACTGGCATAAAACAAACACGGCTGAACTGAAGCATGAAACTTACTCTGCAAGAGCAGGCACTGCTATCCTCAGGGGTGGGGGTGGGCACTTGTTCCCTGAGATCAAAAAAAAGGGGGGCAGGGGGGAGAACCAAAAAAATCCAAAATCACTGCCATCAAATTGATTCTAACTCATAG